AGTTATAGAGTTGGCAAGAAAGTTCTTCGAAAAAAAAAAATTGAAGCATTAAAAATTTGTACAAACAATTCGAAAACAGTAGCAAGGATAAACTTTAAGGACATTTCCTTGGCAATAAAAGCATTAGTAAACAGGGGCACGCACATAGGTCTCCGCAGCATTACCGCCGATGAATTGACAACACCCGATTTGAACCATCACCTTCTACTGGGCATTCCAAGGAAAAAACGCGGGTATAGCGGCTTTAATTATCAGCAACCTATTGTATACCACCACTGCTCACCGATCAACGGTCAACAATCGATAGACCACCCTACTACAAGAGATACTAGCATTCAAAGAAACGCAAGCATCTTCCATCAAGTTCATGGAGATTGAAGGAACCCGTTCACTCTGAGTTGCTAAGTGCAGACTGAATAGTCAGAGCTGTCCCTCAATCGACGAACCCCTCCGCTTGGCCAACGCGTCAAGAGAATGGCGTCCAAAACCATATTTTTCGTCCCTACAGATAGACAGCGCACGTCGAAATTTCGCTTTAGACACGTGTCAAAATTCCACTGGACTCGTTTTTAGGTTGTTCATCAGTCGTACATCTAAAACGTTGTCCCTTTTCATGATGTGTCCAGCCTTCTCATACGTCTCTTCAGTGGAAAAGAGTTCGTAACTTAACATGATCCGAAAACGGCAGTCAATCATTTCTTTGAGTCACGGCTTCTTGAGTTCCAAAAGCACCAGTGATTTGCTCTGAGGATAAGAGAAGGTTGTTGACCTTTCTGGTGAATTTGTTTTCCGGAACTTGATTGGTTCAGAAACTTTTAAGAATGAAATCAAAATGGATTCCATTTTGTCGCAAGACTTCCTTGCCTACCTAATGTAGTTTAAAGAGGCTAAGCTCGATGGCGTACACACCCGTCTCTGTAGAGCTACGGTGTCGTAGTTGGGTTTTCTTCGAGACACTGGCATGGTTCACTTTGATAGATTGCTGTATTGCTGCTCTCCGATTTACTTATACTCAAAAAACGGCGGGATACTGAATCGCTATTTGATCTCACTGCCCTCTATTCAGAAAATGATTGCTTGCAGTTACGATTCATCCGAATCTTTGCGTTTTTAATGATATATCTTTACGCATATGCTATATGAATAATATGACTGGAAAACCAGTATGACCATTAAATGAGACACCAATATCTACCCGAAAAAGAGATTGCCCCCAAAGATAGAGCAGTATTATTCAACTCGCTGTCATGTTTGACTTGAATAGGCCAGCTGACTTGGACAACTCGTACGGTATGCGAGTTCTTTCAAACACGTTCATGACGGCAGCAAACTTCATCGACTTTTTTGTACTAATGTAATCGTAATAACTAATTATTAGAACTTTATTCTTGTTGACCATTACTGGCGAACAGGTGAGCGTTGAAAGGTTGATAGGTGAACATATTGTTAAGGAGCAGCAATTTTTGCACTCATCTCTTACAAACTCGTGAAATCCTTCTCATTGCAATACTAATTCTCTTCATTTCACAATGATGTCCCTTTCGTTTCCTGCCAGAAGCCCGTAAGCCCTCACAGCAGCTACGATGCGACTACAACTGTCACGTAGATAATTTATCAAATTGTTATGTATAGTACACACCCTTTCATGTCCCCGTTGAAATGTAAACTCTGTCATAAATGAAATGCTGCCGGCGGAGTCTCTCCGATTCAGACGATGATACCACGCCGGCGACATTTCATTTACGACAGAGTTTACGGGTATGGGTACATTCACCCAGAACTGGATGGGCGCGGCAAATCGCGTGGCGAAATTCGTGGCGACTTAAGCGACTTTAGCGCCTATCATTGGGGCCCAAATTTGAAGTTGAGTAGATTGCTAGGGTCAGGTGACCATATTAATCAACTCTACTCCAAGTTTGCGCTCCAATGATAGGTGCCAAAGTCGTGTTAAACGCCACGAATCTTGCCGCGCCATTTGTCGCGTCCATTCAGTTCTGGGTGAATGTTCCGTCCCCCCAGAGTTTACAGGTCTGAGTCGCCGATCCCCATCCCTCGTTGCTCTAACAGTCTGAGGCGACGTGCTAAGGGTATAGGGACGCCGATAATGATAAGGGGGTCAAGCGGGCGGGACCACCATGAAGCGTGGTCCCTGGCCTACCGCAAACGAACAAGGACGCGATATTGGTTTAAACGCGATTTATGCTTCCTATTTGCACTTCATTACTTTACGGCATTTACTATCCTTTATTTGTGTCCTTTATTTATTTCATTACTTTGTAGGTACCATACAGTTGAATATAAATACACAAACCACTGAACCACCCGCACACAAATGAGCTGAATCACCGATGTGATCTTAGCAAGGGTATGTGATAGACTGAGATTTGAAAACAGCTCAAACTGGCTTGAGTCCCTGATGATCTGTCCCTGATCCCGAAAATGCGGCATTTGATTTCCGTTAGTTCTGGTGTTCTCTCGTTTTCTTCTGAAAGGGAAAGGTCACGTTCTCTGCACGTTAATGGAATTCATCTTTTCTTTTTGCCTGCAGACACCAAACAGAAAGACGGGCCACCACACACCAAACATCGCGATCAATTGCTGATTAACGGTGGCCCAACAGCAGCGTTGAGTGGAGAGCTGCTAGGTACAACCGGTCATGCCCACACACACCTAAAAACTAGTTATATAGACTTATACATATGTCGTAAGCATCGAGCTTACCATGCTGTTGTTCTCGTTGTTTACCTGTCGCCTGTTGACCTGTAGTGTTGATATCTGACCTACTTTTCAGATTGTTAGCAATGTCTACAGTTGCGAAGAGCTTTCACGGCCACGCGGATCCAGTTGTTGCTTACTGTAGTCAGGTAAATGCTGGTGTTACATTGTGATCTCAAGTTTTAGCTTGATATCCACGCATATATTACATTACGTAGGTTCAATGAACATTGGCACTTGAATAAAAGTAATCAGTAATCATATACATGCCGGCCAGGGGCTCTTTCGGAAAGATGGTCATTCCAGATGACAGTCGTTCAGCATCCTTTGCAAGAAGAACTCCAGAAATCGACTTTGCAAAACTCCCCAAGGTGCGGCATGTTAGGAGCCCCAGAGGTCAGTCCTTTCCTCGCTTTTCTCCCCATTCCAGTGGTTTCCCTACAGCTTCCTTTGCTTCAAATTTCCTCTTTTTCTTCATCGTTTCTACCATGTTTTATATTGTGTAAAATGATATGAGGTTGTTCAATGTTAGGTTCTCACTGTCGGATCGAATTTTATGCATTTGATTAATGGCAAGAAGGCTATTGATATTGGTACATTCACGGGTGCTAGCGCCCTCGCATGGGCAATAGCAGCTGGTGAAGGTGGACAGGTAATCTCATCAATCCTATTTTTTATTTCTTGGAAGACGATCGGCAGTTTAAGGTCTATACGCTAGACATCAATCACGATAACTTCAAAAAGTACGGTGTGCCTGTAATCTCTAAGGATCAAAATATCTTCAAGAGGATCGTACCCGTTGAGGGACCTGCTCTCGCATGGTTAGGTGAGTTAGAATCCTTGGTTCCGTTGTTTCGACAGTTTATACTTGTAAAACTCATTCTTGCATTGGTCATACCGTGCATTCCTCTTTTCTATACAATTGTTTCAACATTGTGAGCCGTTGAGTATAGTATATGCACATCAATGGGGAAGATTTCACGGGGAAGATTCTTTGTAAATGTTGTATAGAAAGATAAAACTCTATCTCCTTTACTCTCTAAGAATACGAAGGCCCGATAACTCCCCAAGAATATGAAGGTCCGATAAGGGTTAGAAAATAAACACTTGTCGGACTACTTTGCAAGCGATACGGGCTGGTACTGATAGATGCCACTGTGACGAATTTCACCTAACCTTTTCCATCGACTATTTGTTCGAACCCTACCATTGAGAGTGATTCATCGATCGTAATGGATTGATCTGGTTCGATACCGACTGGTCAGTGACAACCATTACATCACTGATTGTAATGAAATTCTTATTCTTCTTCGTCTAATCCTCGAGAATTTGAATGTAATGGATATAAAGTTGAATGCACGTCACTCACAAGTTAATATCTTTACTTATTGATGGATACATATTGGCCGATATTACCTGCATCGAAGGCACAGTGCACGATAGTTTTGTAGTACACCTTTTTAATCGAAAAGAGGAAACATAGGTTGGGAATAGTTCATCGGTAATGAAGAAAGCGAGAAAATTCGCCGGTTCCGAGAATAATAAGGCTCCTTAGAAGAAGGAAAAATAGAGGTTGGACGAGATAATCATGACGGAAATAACATGGAAGGGAACTCGGACGAGATTTCAGTAATGGCAATAGTGCAAAGAGCTGATTACATCAAGCCAGAGTTGTAGAGGACTCTGCCTTTCGCTGCCGCTATTGGTCATGACAAGTTATGCGAACTTCCTTCATGGGTACCTTGTGATCAGTGCAGCCTCTACAATGTCGGTGAAACTCGTCAAGCGGATACACACAGGACCATATTTGAGCCTTTATAACGCTCTATCTAAACCGTTTCCCAACTTGATAGCACCATATACAGCATACAAGAGGGCGCAAATTTATCCAAGAGGGATATCCCATGAGCCATTTTATCGCGAACTGTGCCTGTAAGGCTATAACGGGAGGAAACACCCTCGGAAATAAGGGACATATGGAATTCCGATCAAACACATACACAACCGCATCATCAAACACATAGCGTCTTATCTGTAGCGCGATATTTGCAGTATGGCCATTTGATTCATATCGTTTTGAGTTCTCGCGTGCGATGGCTCCAATGTGTGTATAGAAGGGAAATGTGCAAGGCGATAAGGATTATTGTTTGACAATCATGAAAAGGAATGATGAAGCAACATGAAGCAATAGCGGCGCAAGTCGCAAGACTACGCAAATCCTTTATAAATACTTTTATGATTCCCTAGGGTAGAACCTACAATGGTACAGAGTCCTTCCTCGCAGAAAGACTTGTGTCTTTTTTTACCCCTTCCGTTTCATAATGAAATAGAATAATCGAAATCATCAAGCTAAACAAGGAGTGAGCTCCATTGCGTAGCAACGCCACTGTTTTTACTTGCGACATTGTCCGTCATGCCGAGGCCCTCTGGGTTCAAGAACTGGACATCACAGATCGAATGAGCACAGAACAGAGACATCAAACAGGTGTCCGACCATGATCATTACTCCATATTCCCTAGCAAGAAGGACTGGCAAGGATTAACAGGATGTTCCATATTTAGAGGCGTCTAGGGACTGTATTACAAAAAAAAGAGCTTTACTTTAACCGGCCAATTAGAGCGGTAAATTATAGAGTATTCATACGTCTGCGTACATAAACAATCAGCGATAGAGCTTTTCACGCAGTAATGGAAAATAGTGGCGTATCGATGCGTTTTTACATTTTTTCTTCTTAAATTTTTTTGTTTACATTTCATTTCGATTCTACATTTCGTTTTCGTGACCAGGTAATATAAGGATAAAAAGGATAAAGTTTCTGGCGTTAATAGATCCCGTCTGAGAAATGCGCCCCCGCACTCGCTTCCATCCAGAATCGTAGTGGCGTAATGAGTGCGTATGTGGCCTATACAATCACTTGCGGTGGCCAGCCGATGTACAAGTCAGTGCTTTTATCCTCCCAGACCTGTCTGGTACCAATTCACCGACCCCGGAGGAATGAGAGGCTTGGTTGGCCTAGGCGGGCATCGACCCGGGATTCGAACCCCTGACCGTGCGTGTGATATAGTGCGCCACTTGCCACTGCACCAGGTAATATACATGTACAGATATATCCTACTTTATATAACGCGCTAAGTGTGTCTGTTGGTTTGCCGGTGTGCTTGGGTATGTGTGTGTATTTGTGTGTGTTCATGTGTGTATGTCGATTGTGTGTGTGTTTGACCATGAAATCATAACCTCAGTTCGTTCCCGTGGACTTGGAGGGTTATAGTCTAATAGAAGTACATACAGCAGGGTGGGAACGCTTGTGGTGGATGGCAATATTGTGCTCTATCTCAGGGGCGGGATTTGTGCAAAATGAATATTTCAGCGGAGATCCATGATTCCGGTACCCGTAAACCTAGAGAACTCAAAATTAGTAAAATATAGGCCGCAGGCTGGGAGCATCAATTTAGGTGGCAGTACTAGATCCGCCCACAGGGGGCGGGACTAGCACAAAAATGTCAAAATGTACCCAGAACACTAAAATTTGGTAGGCGTACAGGAGACAAGATGGCAGCACTGATGATAGGTGGTAGGAATAGACTCCCCCCGCGGAGGGTGGGGCGTGAGCGAAATTATTGAATTCGGCTTGAGTGGCGTCAGACTCAGCAAAGGCAATCAGGAACCTCACTATTTCAGGAGTTATTCAGCTCGCTGCTAAAATAATTTTTTTAGACAAAATGATAGCTGATGGCCAGAGTGGTTCGTTTGACTTCGCGTTCATTGATGCCGACAAAGTACGTTCTGACCTTCGATCTCCTCTTACCTTTCTGATTAGATAATGAAGCAGAATTTTTTTGTACAACTCTCATACTTAATCCATCTTTGTAAATGATTAACCAATAGCTCACTGTATTTGCAGGAAAACTATACGCTCTACTACGACCGAGTGGTCACTTTGCTCAGGAGTGGAGGAGTTTTGATGATTGATAATGTAAGTATTTCGTGCGAGCAATGTAATTTGAGACAGGTCAAGTGAAGGCATTTATCAGAGCTAAGACTTCCGCATGAAAAACTGTGGAGTTGTCCTATGATAAGAAATTTGTCTATTGGAGGCATATGTAGGTAGGGATTTGGATGACACACGTAAAACTCGGCCACCGCGCTGGCAGAGAATGCATGGGTGTGGACTTTCCGTCCGAGGACGTCCGAGGACGCACGCGGCGAAGTTCTTAGGGGTTTGGACGACTCTAGCGCCTATCATTGAGGCCCAAATTTGAAGTAGTGTATATTTAAGGATCATCTGACCTTACTAAACTATTCTACTTCGAGTTTGTATCCCGTATTGGCGTCAGTGTCGTGCAAATCGTTACCAACTTCGCCGCGCAAGTTGCCGCGCGCATCCTCGGGCGTAGGTATGCAGGTCCCCCAGGAGGCATGTGTCGGATTGTTCCGATACGTTCTATGTCGAATGAGAAGGGTCCTGATAAGAGTAGTCGTAACTGCGGCGCTCCGCACCTATGTTTTAGAGTGTCCACTGCGGTGGCATGCGCTGGTTCACATCCCTCGCGAAAAATCTTTCGAATTATGCGAATTGCAATGGTTGCTAGAGAAAAGATGTCATTAGATGTTATTGACGCATTGAGGTTAGATAGGTGGTCTGCATAGCCACAGGGCCCCACTGTCGAGTACTACTATGGGTAATCTTGATAGCCGCGACAGGCTTCATATATTGGCCAATACAAGCGAAGCATTGAGTGGTAGTCAAATAGTGCTAGAAACAAGGAAATAGAAGGGGAATGAGATCACGGCTTGACGCTAACTCGACGGTGCTTTCCGAGAGATTCGCAAGCATTGTTTGAGAGGGTGTATCGCGAATTACGGTAGAATTCCCCGGAAGATCTCATATTTCAAGAAGTAAGCCTTTTACATATCAAGATTGATTTTTATGTGCATTACAAACATATTAGTTTGACGGGAAGTATCTGCCTGAAATCTCGCGATGGTAGATTTTTCGGACATTCTGGAAGTTTTCATGGTTTTCGTAGAACCTCTTACTTGCTTTAGTAAATATATGATGGCAACCTGCCTACTTATAAGTACTCAACGCGTACTTCTTCACGAGCTCGATTCCGGCATTCGATTAATCCACTGAAACGCTCGTCAATCATTTGAGTTTGATGCTCCTTCTGAGCGGTTCTGTGCAAACCCGTTCCAACAAATCGCCAACCTCAAACAAAAGGGTTGAAGATAATTTTTGCCAACAGATTGCGATATGATGAAATCTCTCCATATGACATGCGCATATGCAGGGCGGCTACAAAGTATGGTCCGGTATTTATTCGCATGTAAAAAGTTAAATAGGACACATTTCTTCAAGAATTTTCGTTGAATGGTATGTCTAAGATAAAGGAACATTTATTCGAGGTATTGTTCAAAATGATCGCCTTTGGCCAGAATACAAGCTTCCAATCTCTTCGTAAGGGCTCCCACGGTGGGCTGCAAGTAGTCGACATCAATTTTCTGTCACTTCCTCTGAAGAGCTGCTTTAAGACTGCCCAAACTGTGGTGGGGTGAAGAAGACATTTTCTGCTGCAGATAGCTCCAAACGGAGCAGTCCATTGGATTGAGGTCTGGGGAGTTAGATGGTCACATGTATTTGTCCCAGAATCCAGGAAAATTATGTCGGCAGAAGGAAATCGTGGATTTCGACCCATGAGCTGGTGCCCAGTCCTGTTGCAAGATAAAGTTTCGTTCTCCAAAGTGATTTCGGGCCCAAGGCAACAGTGTGTCCCTTAAAATAACATTCTGGTAAGTTTCGAAGTTGATTTTGCCGTTTTTATCAACAAAAACGAGAGGTGTTTTGCTTTCCGGTATTATTCCGGCCCATACCATCACCTACTTCTGGAACAGGCTCCTGGTGTTTACTCGTCGATTTTTGTAGTTTTTCTCTGCCCGA